AGTCCAGGTTGTTTTCTGATTCATAATGCTCCTGGCTTTAGTCTCCTGAGTTCTGGGATTACAGGCCTGTGCCACCACATTCAGCAAGAGATTTACTCTTAAGTTTGAAAAGTACCATTAAAAATATTCTGCAAAGGCTGAAGAGATGACTCAGCAGTTGGTTAAGAGCCGTGGCTGCTTTTTGAGTCACCAGGATTTGATTCCCAGCATCTACATGACAGCTCACAACTGTCTGTAGCCCCAGATCAGGGGATCCAATGCCCTCTTCTGGCCTCCACAGTTCCAGGTCCACAAGAGGTATACAGGTAAAACACTCATATGCACAAAACAAAAATTTTAAAAATATCATGCCACTTCTTCTCTCTTCTGGAGGTCAAATTTGTAACAAAAAGCCAGATCTAGAAGGCCCTGAGCAGGGTTCATATCTGGGCACACTTTGTATCTGATAGTGAATTTCTGACTACATTCCAGAGTCAATTATATTTTCTACACCTCCATTAACATGAATAACTGAGAGCTGACTGTACCTTGAATATTTACTCTGTTGTTCTTTTAAAGGCTGGCAGCAAAGCAAAAAAAAAAAAAATCCTAAAATCTACTCTGAAATCTGCATCCAAGGAACTCACTTAAGCAACATCAATTAAATGCATGCTGTTTCAAAATTTATCATTAGCATGCCTGTGTTAGCAGTCACCACATTTCAAAGTGAGCAGGAAGGAAATGCAATGGAGATCCCGGATAAACACTCTGGTTGACTCACTTTTCTGCAATCAAACTCAAATCAAGAAAAACAGAAATACAGAAATTATTAGAAGGCAGTAGAACATTGTGCCAGGCTCAGCCTCCGACAGCCGCACTCTGAAGTCCTATCGACCTTTGACCTATATAGGATTCAGAGTTGAAGAACCATGGCTCTGCCATTCAAGCTCCAGCTATGCCAATCACTCACTAATTATTGCCTTAGAGGTATTAAGTCCTCAACTTCCTTTTCTGTAAAATGTGAGAAAACATGCATAGAACACTTTCTCCCACAAAGTTATCATGGAAATTCAAGGAGCTAATACATATAAAACATGCAGTATCAGTTTGGCAGCTATTATATTCAAATCCCTTAATGTCACAGACAAAGAATCTGACCCTCATCGAGGTAAAAGCTATTTTGTTCCAATCTCACAACTATGTAGGGTCAGTTTGCTCCTTAGGTCTTCAGCTTGCAACAGAGGACTGTCTCTCTGACACTGGCCAAAAACATCAATCTAGAAGTTTCAGGTGCTCAATACAAATAAAGAGAAAACTTAAAGGGGGCAAGCACGAGCTGGCAGGTAGGAGAAATGAGAAGGCAAGAAGAGGCGCTGGCGAAGGGAACTTGTCCAGGAGGTGCTCCCTGTTTTGGGCCAAATGTGAAACTACCCCAGGCTTAGCTCCCATTACAGGTCTGCTGCCTCCGGGCAACACATTCTAATCTTGATCATAACTTTATCCTGAAGTCTAAGAAAATCCAGGACAACCAGCTGAGCAGGAAAAATGCGACAGCCAAAGGGTCGGTGACCTCTCTAGAGCTACATTAAGATGCTTGGATTCTTTTCTTAGAGACAACTTGGAGGTGTTCTTCTAAATAGAAGAAAATATGACTACAATCGTGTATAGCTGTGGTCCCAAGGATATTGCTAAATAATAACAACAGACACAAACATTAATCAATTATAAGCAAGGCAGAAAACCGGAAATTAGACAGTGCTCAGTTCTAGGATATTTTCCACTCGCATGGTGCAACCAGGAAACAATATGTTCAAATGAAAAAAATATATAGGTCATAATCACCATCATGTAATAATACCCTATAAACCACCACCAAGTATTAGGAGGGCTCAAAAATCTCCTTGGCCTTTGTTTGTTTGGTTGTTTGTTTTTGATGAAGAGTTAAAAACAACAGCTGTTCAGAGGAGCAGTGGTGAGCCACCCTAACTATACAAACCGAATGGAAGACAAACAGGGAAGGGCAGAAGGAAATAATAAGCAGGAAGAAAAAAAGGTTTGGCAAAGGCAGACGGAACCTGAGAGTTGGACCCTTCAAAGAGCATGGCTAACATCAGGTTAGCATGGTACAGCAGCTCAGAGAAAAAACTCCAGGCCAAAGTAGAACTATGACTGTTCAGGACCAGGAGGTGAGGTTTCCAGGAAAAGAGAAGATTGGAAATAGAAGGCAGCTCCTCTTTCAACTTCCTTCCAGCACTCGGAGAAGAACATTAGTCAACAACTGAACATCTACCTAGCATGTGGAAGGCTCTAGGTTCAACACACACACATACACACACACACACACACACACACACACACACACACACACACACACTAAGAGACAGAGACAGAGGCAGAAGATAGACCCAGACATTACTGCTAACAAGAGTGAGGAATGAGAATCTAGACAAAAACTCACCACTTCTCGGCTTTTAAATGCTTATGTATGAGAATTGCAACCATCAGAAAAAGCCAAGAAAAAGAAAATTATTTTAAAGGCAGTTGGACGGTCTATAATTAAACAAAAGGGTCTACATTGTCATGGGATGGCTTGGAAATTTTAAAAGCAATACAATGAAATGCAATAAGTTCAATACAATAAAAAGCAAAGCAATGAAATCCTATTAATTTGGTTTTCAATGAAATCCTATTAATTTGGTTTTCATGAAAGTGTATGCATTCTGAATTAATTTGGGAAAATGGAAAGAAATATCTTATTCTTTTTTAAACCACTGTTTTATATAAATTTTCTGGTATAATGTACTTTTACAAAGACCCAATTGAATCTTAAGAGATGAACAGGAACAACTCATAGGCAGAAGGTCGCAAGGAATGATCCATCTGTGCTGTGGGGATAATGGACCTACCAAGACAGCCATGGTGCACACGGAGGACCAGGGACAGCACTTCCAAGGGAAGTGAGCCGCAGTTATCTGATAAGAAGCAAACAGAATGGATTCTAGTCGCACTAACCAAGTATCCCTAACACCAGAGTCATCATAAAACTTACTTTAAAACCTAAAAGCAGCACATATGGCAGAAAAAGTAAAGCCTGAGAATCGTCAGTGATGCAAAGCTGTGCACTGAGAAACTGACGTCTTACAAGGACATAATGGCAGTCCTGCTCAGTGAAGGAGCTGTGAGTGCTTAGAGAGCATGCAGGGTGGCAGGGGCATGCCGCGGGCTTCCTCGGGTACTGGTCCCTTAGCAAATACTGAAGCTTTAGAAGAGAAGCAGTGTGAACTGACAGAGGATGCTGTTTCTCAGAGCAGATCAAGTTACTGAGCAATGCTATCACAGAATCTGACTGGGGCTCCCTAAGACGTCAGAGATACAAACAGATGGCTTAATGGTAAAACTGTCTATGCTAAAATCATAGTGCAGCAGGCAGGCACCTCAGGGGGGCAAGGTCAGGGAGCACAGGGAGCACCTTTCTTCTCACACCGCTCTGTTCCCGCAGAGTTACCATTCCCCTTACACATGGCAAATTCTAGGGCATTTTTGCAGAAGCTTCTACTTCGATTTTTTTTTTTTTTTTTTTTTTTTTTGGGAGACAGGGTTTCTCTTTGGAGTCTGTCCTGGAGACCAGGCTGGCCTCGAACTCACAGAGATCCACCTGCTTCTGCCTCCTGAGAGCTGGGATTAAAGGCGTGCGCTACCATCGCCCAGCTCTACTTCAATTCTCTTCATTTATTCCAGTCTCAAAATACCAAAGAAGAGCAGCGCTGAACCACGAAACCATTAATAAACAGGCTCTTTCTTTCTTTCTTTTCTTTTTTTTTTTTTTTGAGGCATGATCTCTTTATGTCTGCTGGCTGTCCTGGAACTCGTTATGTAGGCCAGGTTGGCCTCAGGCTCAAAGAGATCCATCTGCCTCTGTCTCTGAGCACTGGAATTAAAGGCATGGATCACCACACCTAGTTAAAGTATTCACGTTTGAAAAATAATGCTGTAATTTATTTCATGTTCTTACCTTCTTTCATATAGCTACAAACTAAAATTCATATATATTCATATAGCTATGAAGTAAAATTCATAGTCCGCACATATTACAAAATAAAAATCTGACTTTGTATGCTGAGATCACTTGTATAAACCTGCCTCCAATGGCTACAGCAAGAAGTGTCACTTTACAAAATGAATTTTAATAAACAAACAACACCTTTTAAAGAAGCAAGGCAGTAGGTTACCCATCAAAAGGGCACAGCTCACCAAGCTCTGTTTTCACCACAGGAATGAGCAATTGGTCTAAGAAAGGCAATGGCCCCAGGAAGTTCATAAATTCAACAACTAAAGAATAGGTAATCTGGGAATGAGTTACAGCCCGAAAGCCTAGGAAATTGTGTCAGGAAAAACTCTGTGAGTTCAAAAAAAATACATGGATCAAATAAACGTTTCAAGTTTTGAAAAGTACATTTAAAAACTGGTCCAGAAGGAGCAGGGGCAGGCTCACGCTTGGGGTCCATTTTTAACCTAGTCCTCTTCACCTGGGGGTTAGCAATAGGGTGCCACCCACACGTGGTAGAAAGCCAGCCATAGCGTCCAAGCTTGACTGAATTTTAAAAGTGACACTGTAATCAGATATCATCCAAGGACAGTCTAGAATTTCAGGGTGCTCTTGATCATTAAAATTAGCTTTTACATTTTAACAGGATGTAAATGTATTAAATATATACTTGTATTTTTGACCTAGTAAAGTAGTGCCCCAAATACATATTTATAAAGAAAATTTTTCTTATGTAATACCAATTAAAATAAGCAAATTATCATCTACAATACAGAATTTATATATCTCTTTAACGATAAAATAAAAATTTGCTTTAGACTGCTAATAAAGCAATATCCGCACAAGAATGAAGAAATGCAAAGCTAAGCAGTGGAAGGAGGAAAGCTAACCCTTGCACGGGTTTTGGTTTGTCAGACAGAAGAAGAAGACGTATTTCCAACAGATGGAAAGTAAAATGGAATAAAGTTATACTTGCCTGCATTAATTTCCCTTCCGCTGGAGTTACTTCTGCAACACCAGCAAACACGCCTTCCAAAGTGAGATTCAGTTTTCCTGTGGGGTCCATTTTTAGGGGGATCACTCTGATAATAGCTTTCTGTTCTGCTGATCTTTCAGACTCCACCGCTGCTGCCAGCACGGGTCCTGTGCGTCCAAAGCCTGCATGCAGGGTAGCCATCAGCAGCCAGGGCCAGAGGGCAGCCAGCTGCAGCTGCTGGCCGCCACTCATGCTACCAGCTGCATCAATGCTCTTCGGCCATGCATACTGCTTCCACTAGCTCATCCCAAAGGCAGGTTCTCAGATCCAGAAAATGGAGGGGAAAGACGCTGTGTTTCAGTTTCCGAAAGCCAAGTCAGAGCTCTGGTCCTTCCTGTCTCTACAGTGTATTCCCAAGCACAGGGGGCATTCCTGATTGGGAGGAGAAGAGGGTTTGTTTGTTTGTTTTCAGCCCACTTCTGGGGCAGGTATGTCATTTTCTCCCATCGTCACTGTGGGTACAGAAACAGCACCACTGCTCGCTGGAATTTCCAAATGTGCCTTAGAGCCAGCATGGACTGGTTGTGTGTCAGATCACTTGCTGCTGGTCTTCCATATGTATCCGATTTCTGAGGCACGAAACCCAGTGTTGAGGAACCAAAACCAAGGGAGCCGGCTAAGCAGTGCATCAAAGTGAGGAGGCAGAGCTCCAGCTCAGAGCTCAGAAGATGGCCCTTGTTAACCAGAAAAACGGTCCGTTTTAAATGGTTGAAGACCATGAGGGGGTTTTCTTTTTAATAGGAGAGGAGTGGAAATGAATTAGGCCACACCTGGAGGGATGCCTAAGGTGGCTACAGACAGTATGAATTCATTAAAACGTCCATGCTAGACTGTGTTTCGGCAGAGCCCAGAGCTAGGCCTACTGAATTTATACACTTTTAAAGAACTTCAATATATTTTTTTGTGTTCCACCAAAAGTACCTGTAAAATTAGGCACAGATTCATATATCTTTGACATCCGACAGAGTAAATCTGAATGCCAAAACCTCTCCCAACTCCCATATCGGGATACTCAATGAGGTCAGCTTTCCAGGTATTTCCCAGTTCAAATTTGTTTCCACTTTCCTTTCTTGCTCAGGGATTCCAGATTTTATTCTCCAGCTTGAGAATATCAAGCACTTTGGCTTTCCTCAACGTGCTGTGGAAACTACTATCCAGACCTTAGAATCTGTAATCTCTGGGACTCAGAAGAAAACAAAGGACTGTTCCTAACACGTTTTCAAATTCCTTGAGGGGGTGGGGAATAAAAGATAGGGGGAAAGACACAGGCTCTACGTCGAGCACCATGGGTGGAGGGGATCAAGCAGAGTAGAGCAGATCTGGGGTATTTCTAGGCTCCTATGAAACTTCAGGTTCTTGTATAAGCATCAGATTTTAAAATGAGCACGCTCAAGTAACTATCAATGTACTTCCCTCACAAAGCCTACTGCCTTCTGAGGTCAAGTGTGAAAATCCTACAGTCTTCAGTAGTGCTCAAAGCCAAGCCACTGGACATGAACCTGCTATATAGACTCCTTACTTTTGCTGAGACAGAGGGAGGGAGAAAACAAAAAAAGAATTTCAAAAGAAATCTGCAAACCTGTTGCGCTGTCGGGCCCACTGGAATCCACGGGGGTGAAACAAATTCAATTATGCTTTTATAAATCCTGCTTTAAAAAGATCTGAGCTGCTTAACCCAGTGTGGCTCAGTCTTCCTCCACCTTCTCACTCTGCAGTCAGACAAGTGCACACACTACAGGTAGGTGCCGAGAAATTCCGAAGCCTGAGAAAGCAATCCACGCAGGTCAAAGGCAGAAACTTATTCCAGGACGAGAGCTACTGTCCTCAAGGACTCTAGAAATGCTTAAAGATCCAAAATCATCCCCGAAATCTAACAAAAGTCCTTTCCCCCAGCTTCTGTACAGAAAATTAAATGATCAGCTCTTGAAAGACAACGAAGTAGTAAATACAACAATTCAATACCAGAAACAGAAAATCCCAGAGGGAGAAGGCGGTATCTCTGAATCATGGATGGACTTGGGAAGTTCAGAAGAGGGAAGGACTCACGCTTCCTTTCCAGAGACAATTCTGGATCAGCTCCCCACAGCAGGAAGCCTGTGGTTGGTAATTGGCGTTCTAGCTCTAACTCCCTCCCCTGGGACTGCAATCACACTCTTTACCTGCTGACAAAGTGAGGGTGGAGCAGCCACACGCAAGCCCGCCCCGCCTCCTCGGGGTGCACGCCCTCGCAAACTTAACCAAGTCTTCTCCCTCTCTCTTCCTGGTTCTCGTTCCTTTACTCCCTCTAGCGAGCCACAGCCCAACTGCACTCAATTCAATCAGTCCTTACTTTTCCCTACAGCATATAAATCAGGGCCACTCAAACATATCTAAGAGAATTCTGTAAGCAATAGGGCACAGATGGTGGTATGAGGAGATAAACAGAAAACATAAAAGAATCCAAATGACAAAAGAGTGGCGCAAAGTCTTGCAAATACAAGTTCAAATAGATTTCTTTCCATGTTTTAGTGTCCATAAATGGCACACAGACTGGACTGAGAGATCTTACACTGCAGTACTTGTTGCTTTTTGTTGGCCACCCTGGAAAGCTTCTGTGCGTTTTCTACATAGATTTTCTTCAGTTCTTATACTGTAAGTTCAGTAGCTCTGTCTAAACTGTACCTGTATGGATCTTTCAAATCAGGCTGGTGTCAGAAGTCTGGAATTTGCTATTTCCATCTCATTCTTTGCGTCAGACCTATTCTTTCAAAGTAAGAGTTAAACTTATGCTTCGAGCTGAAGCAATGGCTCAGTGGTTAAGAGCGCTTGCTGCTTGCTCTTTCAGAGGACTGGGGTTCAGTTCCCAGCATCCACATGGTGGCTCACAAACTCTGTAACTCCAGTTCTAGGGGATCTGACGCCCTCTTCTGGCCCCCACAGGCACTGCAGGCAAAACACCCATACATGTAAATCTTTTTTAAAAAGTTAAATATGCTAAATAAAAACAGTTTAGGCAGCTGAGTGGTGGCGGCACACACCTTTAATCCCAGCACTCAGGAGGTAGAGGCAGGCAGATCTCTGTGAGTTCGAGGCCAGCTCTGGTCTACAGGTGCTAGTGCCAGGTCAGGCTCCAAAGCTACAGAGAAACCTTGTCTTGAAAAACCAATGTATATATAATTATAAACTTGATTGCTTTCTCTTAAGGAAATTATGAACTCTGGGAATGATGACAAAATTTATCATGGACTTGAGACGCTATACTTTAGTGCACTGATTCGGATCACGAAAGACAAGTAAAAAAAATATTCATATGAGTTTGATATGCCATAGAGCTTCCCTGGAAATGTCATCAAGATGGCGTTGCCGTGGTGTGAAAAAGCGATCTCACTGACATTGACTTCTTTTGTGTGTTGAGGTTTAAGTTCAGGGCCTGTGTGTGTTGGGCCAGTGAGAACATCCTCAGCCTCAACTCAACCTTACAGATAATCTTTAGCCACTGCCATTCCTGCCTGGATTGACTAGTGATTGAAGACTATTCATCCTGTTCTAAAATCCAGGGTTCTGGAAAATACTATCCTTAGAAACATTTAGATTTTTAATCATTATTAAAAATAACTTGTAAACTGGGTGGTGGTGGCACGTGCCTTTAATCCCAGCACTCGGGAGGCGGAGACAGGCAGATCTCTGTGAGTTCAAGGCCAACCTGGTCTACAAAAAAAAAAAAAGCAAAAATAATAATAATTTGTAAAGGTCTGGACAACTTTCTGTTGTGTTTCTTTGTTTGACAGTGTCTTGGTCACGTGTATCCCAGGCTGACCTCTGCTGCGACTGCAGGAATGTACCACCACTGCATTTGCTATACATGGTGCTAACGATGAGCCCGGGGCTTCAGGCCCACTACCAACTGAATTACATCTTCAGGGCAATGTTTAAAAACTAAGAAGTAGACTGCAGAGTAGTGCACACCTGAAATGCAGGACTCCAGATACAGAGAGGCTGGAGGACTACTCCAAGTTTAAGGCTAGCCTGGTCTACACAGCAAGACCTTGTCTCAAAACTACAAACAAAAGGAAGACAAGGTACAGCGCTTGCGTCGCATGGATTCCAGGCTCTGGGATCATCTCCAGAACTGCAGGGGGGAAAAGAAATCAATCAGTTTTTGAAAAGCAGAATGCATTGTCTTTGAGATTCACCAGCATTAGTGATCATAATGACTAAATTTTCTACTGGCTACCAAAAAAAAAAAAAATAGTAAAACAAGCAAGACAAGAGGTCTGGTTGGAACATTCATTTTATTGTTGACTGATTGAAACTGATTGGTGCTGGACGGGAACCTTCTTAGCATGTGTCAGGCAGGCCCTACTGGGTAATTCACGTGCAGATTTCACTTTCCTGCTGCCCTTTGCACAATCACTGATGAGAGCTTCAGGAGATGAGTTCCAGCATTGAGTAGAGCAGGAGATCCAGCTCCATTGTCTGCTGTATTCATATATACAAAAGTTTGGAAAGCTGATCAGGGCAATTCACTGATCAAGCCCTAAACCACTGAAACCATGTCTGTGCCAAGGTTCCTGCTTGACACGTATTCCTCAAAAGGTATTATCTCTTTCAATACACATAAGGCTAAGAAAGGCATTTTGAGGGGAAGAAATATCACCTACACAGCTTACCAGCTCTTCAATGGGACAGAGAAAAGGCAAAGTTCCTTCATTAGAAAACCGGGTCTCCTTTTCATACACTTTGCCAATATATTTGGCATGGATACAAGGTGTGCATGTCTTGATAATCAGTTCATCTTTCACGCCTTACTAGTAAAGATGAATAAGTGCCCAGGACATGAGCACCAACTAGTCTAATTAGATGAATCAAAGCCTGCTCTCAAATCTAAAGTGAGTCGCTGTAGAGCAATTGAGCTTACCCTTTCCAAACAGCTAGAACTCTTACACGTCTAGGTCTGCGATCACTGGGAAGGCACAGTGCAACACAAGAAACGAACTGTAAAGCTACAGAGCTAACCCAGTGCTTATGCCATTATTAAGCGCTGTTTCTTTTTCATTAGCTTTAAATCATAGACTTTCCTTTTGTTTCTGCAGCGCTTATTAGGAAAACTGAGGTAGATCCAACAAGAAAGTTTTAGTCAACTTGAAATATCTCAAACCTTTCTGGTTCTTGCTGTCATTTGGTAGACATGGATCAACTACAGAAACTGGACATCCAAAATGCCCCTCTTTACCTTCAAAACAGCCCCACAATCCACTACTCCTCAAATGTCCAGTCCTGTGAGGGGAGGGAAAATGGTGATCACCTACCCACTATCCAGAAGTCTCTCAGAAGCTTAAACCATTTAGTACTTCAAAAATAAACTTCTTCTTAAAAATTAAAGTATATAAAAAATAATTTTTTTTAAAAAAAATTAAAGTATAGCTTCTGGTAAATGACAATGAAGCAATCCCCCCCCCCCCAAATTTGCACACAATACCCTCTATAGATAAGAATTTATACTTGTTGAATGTAAAAATCTAAAATAAGAAAACATTGTGTTAAACCTTAGTGTTTCTGTTCACATATTGTACATTTACCCTTCAAAAACAAAATTATACACGTACCCTTTAATCTTTCTATTCTGCAAGGTTAATAAAAATACAAAGTTTTAAAACTTTTAAATCTCTCAGCATTTATAAATATAATTAAATAAATTAAATATTTTCTTTAGAAGACATTTATGTAAATGATATTAACAAAACTTTCTTACTATTTATAACAATTTATCATTCAAATTAAGGAAAGACATGACAATGGGAAAAAATGCTCTCATAAATATTCAAGAACCAGAGGCTGTTAGTTTGATGGACGGGCCAAGTCTGGATGCCTTGTTCCTGAAACAGGACGTGGGGTTCAGAAACAAGAGAAGTTTTTGGTTAATCACTTATAAAATGAGTTTTTTTCCAGAACTTCCTCCCTGGAACTCCTGACCTACTAGGACTGGTGACACTAGTGACCTTGCATGTCTTTGTTTATCACACCACCTTCCCTAAAGGGTCACACTGTGACTTGAGACAGATGACATTGTTCAAAATGACATCCCAACTCAGCACACACACAGCTCCAGTGCCATCAACAGAGCAGATTTTAGATGCTTCTTGAAGGCCAGGACTTTTCATTTGAAAGGAATCTGGGCAGAAAAAAAAAAAAAAAAGGCCGCTAGATGTTGAAGCAGTTTGTCAAGGTAAGTAATCTGAACTGAACAGCTGTAGGAAATACCAAACTCCCAATTTTCAATTTAACAAAATCTCAATTAACAAAACAAAAAATACTTTTTCTTCCTTAACAGAACTGAAAAAATCCCAACAGCGTGTCATGTGCAAGTCTAGTCTGTGCCCAGCTGTGGCTAGTGCACAATGTCACATCCAGCATCCACTCCGTCTCACTCTTTCAACTCTTCCTCCTTTGGAAAGTGCTCCTGCTTGCAGGCCACGTCCACCAGCAGATGAAGATCTAGAAAGAGAGGATGGTTTACTCACTCTCAGCTCTCAGGCGACAGACGTCTCCAGCAAGTCTTCATACAAGAAGGACATGTTGTCTATAGATAATCTGTGTAAGTGGCTAGAAATTACACTTTTTATCAAAGTCCAGATGTTAGGACATGCTTACCACTCCTTGAAGCAGATCAGGTGCGAATCTAACAGATCAACAAGGTTTAAAATAATGCCTTTTATTATATATTTTTAAAAGGGGTAGCCAGATGTGGTGGGAGGTGGAGGCAGGAGGGATGGGAGTTCAAAGCTAGCCGTAGCTACTTAGAAAGGCTCATGTAGTCTGGGCTATGGTGAGATCCTGCCTCAAAACAAATAAGCAAACAAAGAAAACTTAAAAAGTGTAAAAAGGAATTAAGATTAAATATACATACAAACAAAACTTCATTTCCTTTCTGTTGCAAGGACAGGAAGGGGAGTTGTTGACTAACACAACTGAACTCTTGTATACACACACACACACACACACACACACACACACACACACTGTTACCTCAAATTGGAGTTCAGGAGAAAACTGGTAATACACTTATGTGACATATGGACATTTTTAAGTGGATAAACACATTATTATAAGTCATCCACTTAGCCCTAACAAGTAAGTTGATAATCGGGAGGCAGAGCAACTAAGCTATTATATGGCTAGTAAGGAAAGCCACCTTGTTATGCACTGAAATCATTTGGCAATCTTCAAAAAACCAATGCCTGGGGCTCCCTCCTCCAGATATTTTCATTTAATTGTTATGGAGGGCTGGAAAGATGGCTCAGAGGTTAAGAGCATTGCCTGCTCTTCCAAAGGTCCTGAGTTCAATTCCCAGCAACCACATGGTGACTCACACCATCTGTAATGGGATCTGGTGCCCTCTTCTGGCCTGCAGGCATACACACAGACAGAATATTGTATACATAATAAATAAATAAATAAATAAATAAATAAATAAATATTTTTTAAAAAATAATAATTGTTATGGAGTGCAACCTAGGCTTCAGGATTTTTTAAAGCTGACCAAAAGATGTAGGAGTAACAATTATGATCATTTTCTAAATACTTCAGCTCCACATCAGGAAAAGAACAAGGCATATGGTAATAAAAATATTAAAATAAGGTTTTGTGATATGGTGGGAGGAGCACAGGCCTGTAATCTTACCACCTAAGAGCAGAGGCAAGAGACTGCCACAATTTTGAGGTAAACTTAGACTATATAGTATATTCTAGATCAGCCAAGGCTACTATAAAATCCTGACTCAAAATACACATATATTCCCTCCCCCCACCCATACATATACACCACACACACATCACACACATGCACACACACCACACACTGCACACACACATACACACACACACACACACACACACACACCGCATACACACCACACACACACCACATGACAAAGAATAGAAACAGATTGACTCTGAGATATGAACAGATCCATTTGTAACCCCACTTTGAAAACGGACGAGGAAATCTTGATAATGATAAAGGTAGAAACTACTAAAGGAACTATAGATCTCTCGGGAAATAGACTGAACACAACAGCAAACCTTCTTTTTAGTAACTGGGCTTCAAACTAAGATGAAACCTGGAGCTGGGCACAGTTGCACACACCTTTAATACAAGCAGAGACAGGTGGATCTCTGTGAGTTCAAGGCCAACCTGGTCCACAGAGTGAATTCCAGGACAGCCAGGGCTACACAGAGAAACCGTTTCTCAAAAAACAAAACAAAAAAGGAGGTGGTGGCAGTGGTGAGATAGCTCAGTGCATAAAGGCGACTCCAATGTGGATGAACTTTCCTAAACATCATCTAGACATGTGACAAGCCAGGCATGAAAGGTCCCATGATGTGTGATTGCATTTACATGAAATACTGTGATTAGGTAAACTCATAGAGGCCAAAGGCAGATTAGCAGAGCAAGAGAAAATGCAGAAATGTTACAACAATGAAAACGTTCTTGGTAACACTGGGTTTTCTCTGAGAATGATGAAGATGGCTCTGGGAGCCTGTACGTCACTGTGAGGACACTACCTGCTGCTGAATCATCTGCTTTAAAGGGCTCATTTGTTATTTTTACCTCCGAAAGTCATCTTTTCCTATTAAGTAGAAATGACTTCAGACCAAAAACAAAAACAAACAAAAAACCCAAAACAAACAAACAAAAGCAAAGAGGGAAATAGGAAATAACTCTAAAGTACAAAATTCCTCCTTAACCCTCTCTCAGCTATCAGCAGCACAGAAGTGAGATGGTCCGTATAGGTGTGCCCAGCCTCAGTAAGAGACAGAGTTCTCTCTGTGTGTGGTGGTGGTGTTTTAAAGGTTTATTGTTTTAATTATGTGTCTCTGTGCAGGCATGTGCACATGGGTATAGGTGTCTGTGGAATCCAGAAGTCCAGAAGGTTCTAGATCCCCTGGAGCTGGAAGTAGAGGTGGCTGTGAGCTGTGAGACATGGGTGCTGGGATCAAACTTAGGTCCTCTGCAAAAGCAGTCATGCTCTTAACTGCCGAACCATCTTTCCAGGTCCCTTGTTCTATTTTGAGGCAAGGGGTCGTGTAGCTCAGATTGGCTTCAAGCTTATAGCCAAGAATGACCTTGTACTTCTGATTCCCTGCTGGTTTTACAGTTAGGTATACATCATCACACCTGCTTTTTCTTTCCCTTTCCTCTTTTTTTTCTTTTCTCATTTTTCCTTCCTTAATGGTAGAATAACAAAAAACCTCTGGGCTCCACCCCCAGCACACAACACATATGATTATTATTTCAACAGAATGGGACTGTGGAGACTGGTACTGTACCTAACAGAGCCAAACATTTAGAAGAAGCACTTAGTAAAACAGGAGTAAAATGACTCCTCAACTAGTCAAACCTTACCTCTTCATGACTAAACATTGCTCCTGAAGATACAAAGTCAGGACTGGGCTATGACTCAGTGAATAGTAATTACCAACTGTCATGTGCAAGGCCCTGGGTTTAATCATGGGTACAAAGCTTGCGAGATGGCTCAGCCATCAAAGGCATCTGCCATCAGGACCGATGACCTGAGTTCAATCCCTGGGACCCTGCAAGTTGTCCTGATATCCACACATACACTGTGGCACCTCCACCACTGCACATACATGCATACACACACATACACACACACAATTAAAAAGTAACTTTTTTCAAAGATTTATTTATTTATTATGTATACAACATTCTATGTATGCTTGCATGCCAGAAGAGGGCACCAGATCTCATTACAGATGGTTGTGAGCCACCATGTGGATGTTGGGAATTGAACTCAGGACCTCTGGAAGAGCAGCCAGTGCTCTTAACCTCTGAGTCATCTCTCCAGCCCCAAAAAGTAGTTTTTAAAATATTCATAAAAATAAACAAAAATAAGCCAGAACCAAACAGAGAGCAGACACAGAGAGTAGAATGGTGGTCTAGTGGCAGTGAAGTGGGTGTTTTGTCTGCAAGCTTGACAATCTCAGCCCCATCCTAGAAACAACGTAGTGAACAGAGAACTAACTCCTCCACACAAATGTTGCCACCCGATCCTGCACAAAATAAGGAAAGAAACATAAAAACCATTTTACGAAATGAAAGAATGATGGCTGGCAGGCCTGGTGCATAGAGTTTCAGTTTTACAAGATGAAGTTTTAGAGATGGTTGGTGGTGATGATAGCAAGAAATGTTAACATAGTGAGCACATATATACATATATATTACCATAAGATATAAATAGATACACTCTAAAAGATGGAGAAAAAAGTTCTTCATTTATTCACTCAATAAACATGGTATAACACAGTAATGTTCTAGGTCCTAGGGATATTGCAAAAATAAAAATAGATCTTTCTGCCAGGCAGCGGTGTGATGCACGCCTTTAATCCCAGCATTCGGGAGGCAGAGGCAGGCGGATCTCTGTGAGTTTGAGACCAGCCTGGTCTACAAGAGCTAGTTCCAGGACAGCCAGGGCTGTTACACAGAGAAACCCTGTCTCAAAAAAACTAATAAAAAGATAAATACATAATAAAAATAGATTTTTTTTAACAAATTAGCTTTCTAGAAGAGGAGAAAATAATGGAAAATGTCAAGTAGAGCCAAGAACCATAAAAGAAAACCAAATAACAAGAATGAATGAAGAAGAGCAAGATATAATGAGGAGGCTCTTCTGAGCAGGGAAGAGAATGAGACGAAAGTCTGTACAAGGAGCACAAGTGTGAAGACAGGAATATGCTTGATATGCCAAAGACTAGAGAGGAGGCTGCTGTGTCTGGACCAGATGAGGAAGGTGGGGGGAGATGAAATCACAACAGCAGCCAGAAGCTAAACCATTCAAAATCTTCTAGCCCATATTAAGGATCTTTTTTAGAGTTTATTAAAAATGTGATGGAAATCTACAAGGGAAATTTGAACAACAACAACAACAAAAAGATTTAAAATCTTTTAGTTTGAACAAAAAAAGGATTTAAAATCCTTTTCTAGTCCTGGAAATGGAAGCGAGGGCCTTGCACATCCTACACAAGTGCTCATCACTGAGCTCTAGCCTTCCCTGAGTAACGTTTCTCAGGATGGTTGGCTGTGCTGTAACAGTGAGCAGGGAAGACGAGCCAAGAAGCCGTGAAGTCACCTACACAAGAGGATGCAGAGTACTGGGTGCAGTAGCCAAGCAGAGGGTGGTGAGAAAGGGTCAGTTCTGTGTCTGAACCCACACTGAATGGACAGGATTTGCTAATGGTCTTGATGTCTAAGAGAGAAAGCAGTCAGTAGAGACTTCAAGATTTCGGTGCGACTAGAAAACTACATGGTGCTATTTATAGATATGTAAAATTGGAGAGAGGATAAAATGTGTTAAGTTTGGACACAAATTGGACATATCCAAAGATAGAGAGTGGGGAGCTGGAGAGAGGGCTCAAGCAGTTAAGAGCACAAATTGCTTTTGATGAAAACCTGGGTTTCAGTCAGCAGCTATCAC